TCTCTCTCTCTCTCTCTCTCTCTCTCTCTCTCTCTCTCTCGGGTGTGTGTATGTGTGTCTCACTATGTAGCCATGGCTGACCTGTACTTGCTCTGTAGACTAGGCTTTGGCTTCCCTTGAACTCAGAGACCTGCCTGTCTCTGCCTTGGGAGTGCTGGGATCAAAGGTGTGCACCACCACACTTGTCTTTTTAAAAGTTATCTTTTTAAAAAAATAATAAATTACATTAATGTGTGGGGACTGGAGAGATGGATCAGCAGTTAAGAGCACTGGCTGCTCTTCCAGAGGTCATGAGTTCAATTCCCAGCACCCACATGGCCGCTAACAACTGTCTGTAACTACAAGATCTGACACCCTCTCACAGACATACATACAGGCAGACCACCAATGCACACAAAATAAAAATAAATAAATTAGCCAGGCGGTGGTGGCTCACACCTTTAATCCCAGCACTCGGGAGGCAGAGGCAGGAAGATCTTTGTGAGTTCGAGGTCAACCTGGTCTACAGAGAGAGACCCAGGAAGGAAAAACCAAAATTAATAATAATAATAATAATAATAATAAATTAAATAAATAAATTATTTAAAAATCATTAAAAAATTACATCTGTGTGTGTGTGTGTGTGTGTGTTCCACTGCTGTATGTGGAGGCCAGCAGACAACTTTGTGGTCAGTTCTCTTCTTCCACCACGTGGCTCTGGGGGACTGAACTCAGGTCGTCATGCATGTTGCTAAGCACCCACTGAGTCTTCTCACCAGCCCTCCAGTTTTCTAGTATTTGGTGGTAGTTCTTATTTTTGCTGATGTTGTTATACAGGGGCTTACTCTAGTGCAAGCTGGCCTAGAATATGCGGTGGTCCTCCCACCCCAGCCCTGCCGGGATTCCAGCAGTAAGCTACTGGAGAACCTGCCAATTACCTATTTATTGAATTGAAGTTGGGCCATTCAGTACTTTCTCCTCTGCCGGCTGCCATGGGTCTCCAGTAGGGGGCGCAGGAGGAGCGTGGCAGACGGCAGGGTCAGCCTCCGGCTTTCAGGCTTCTCGGTGGCATGGACCTGCAAGCTGCCCTGTCTCCGGCATCCACTGGGCTCCTGCCACCACCTCATCCCAGACACTTCCTGTAAGCGGTTTGTCTGGCATCTTACAGGACGTGCTCTTCTGGCAAATTCCATCCCAGCCTGGGGCTGCTGTCTTTAGTCTCTCTTTTCATTTAAGATTTTATTTTTAACGTTTGTTTATTTAGTGCGTGTTGTGTGTGTGTATGAACTTGTGCCACGGCACACATGTGGTCATCAGAGAGCTGTCTGTAAGAGTCAGTTCTGTCTTGCTGAGTGGTTTCTGAGGATAAATTCAGGTTGTCAGGCTTGGTGGCAGGTGCCCCTCCCCCACCCCGGGTATCTCAGTGCCCCCCTCCCACCTCCACATTTTTTTTTGTGTTTTTGAAACGGGGTTCAGACAGTCAAAGCTCTTTCATCTCTGAAGTGATGGGATTGCAGTTGTGTGACATCACACTCAATCCTGTGCAACTCATTCTCCTCTCCCTCCCTCCT